GCACACGTGTACACACACACACACACACACAGGCTTGCATAGCTACCTCCTGCACACACCCACACACTCCCATGCAAACACACACGTGTGCCCAGAGATGCGTGTGCCCACACATGCGTGTGCCCCCGACTGCTAAGTGCCTGCTGCAGGTGGGGGCCCTCCCTGACACCCCAGTCCCCCCCCCGCGGATGGGGCTTTATTGCCCCAAGCATCCACGGGAGGCAAAGTCCAGGGTGGAGGGAGACGTGGGGGGTGACTCACAGCTCTGACCCCCCCGCCAGTGCCACCCTCTGTCACACCAAGTGATGTGCCCTGCCCAGCCCTGCCCAGCCGTGCCCATGCCCTGCCAGGAAGCACCAGTGGGACCCAGCTGGTGTGGGCAGCCCCCAGCCTACTGTATTTTCCTGGTGACCCCAGCACACTGTTGGGGATGGGCTGCAGCATCCTGATTTGTTTGGGGGTTCACAGAATCACAGAATCACAGAACGTTAGGGATTGGAAGGGACCTCAGAAGCTCATCCAGTCCAATCCCCCTGCCGGAGCAGGAAACCTTTTTTTTTGGAAGGCGTCCAGGCGGGTTTTGAATGTCTGCAGAGAAGGAGACTCCACAACCTCTCTGGGCAGCCTGGGCCAGGGCTCTGTCACCCTCACTGAGAAGAAGTTTCTTCTCCAATTTCAGTGGAACCTCCCGTGTTCCAGCTTGTGCCCATTACCTCTTGTCCTATCATTGTTTGTCACCGAGAAGAGCCTGGCTCCATCCTCGTGACACTCACCCTTTAAATATTTATAAACATGAATGAGGTCTCCCCTCAGTCTCCTCTTCTGCAAACTAAAGAGACCCAGCTCCCTCAGCCGCTCCTCATAAGGGGTTCAGGTGATGCCGTGTGTAGACCCCACATTGGGCACCCTGTATTACCCACAGCAATCCTTGCCCACCACCCCTGGGACAGGGACCCCCAGGAGCCTGCTCTGGGAGGTGAGATCTCAGATGTTGGACAGACACAAGGGATTTGGGACATGGGTCATTTCTGGGTGGTGCCAGGCTTAGAGAGCCCTGTATGTGGGTGCCCCCACCTGCAGGCACCCCTAGTCCTGCCATGGGTGCACCGGCCACTCAGATGAGCCAGGCAGGGGTGTCAGCAGTCCTGGCAGCAATCAGCTGGCTTAATGAGCCAAAGAAGCAGATCTCTGCCCTTGCTGGAGGAGAAGAGGGCACCTGGTGCTGGGGGTGCTTTGCCCACTGTCTGGCTGCGTCACCCTACCAGCATGAGGGGGTCCCAATGGCTGGAGGGGACATGGAGCGCAGCTGGTGGTGCTCTGGGGAGCAAAGAGAGACCATGTCCACCACATCCCAGCTTGGATGTGCCTAATACACCCTCCCCTCCAATCTGTGTCCTCCTCTGACAACCCAACAGTGTTAACGTCAGAATCTGGTATCAAGGTGCAGGGAGGGATGGGGTGGTTCATATATGCCATTCCCTGCCACTCCCCCAGCCCCAGGCTGCCTTACCTCCTGCCCTCCTGCCACCACCCTCCTACCTCCCTCAGTGGGTAGCAGCCTGGCTGGCAGGGCTCTGCAGCCCCAGACCAGCTGTGTCATGGCTCCAACACCAAATTCCCACCCAGGCCTGATGTATGGCAAGGATGGAGAGACAGTGGACATTCACCTGCCAGGAGCCTGGAAAGCAAATGCATGCAGGAATGAAGAATCTCAGAAGGATGCCAGCATCAGGGCAGGATGATGGGGAGAGGAGGCTGGATCATAACAAACCAATTAGGATGGTGGTAATTACCAGTCTAATGAGATATCAAGTTGAATCCTGAAAGCATCAAGATTCTTTCACAGTAAGATGTAGCTGTTGCAGTGTTCATCCTCTGGGGTTTTGTCTTGGACAAAACATTTCCTTTCCCGCAAGACCAACAGAAATTTGATGGGAGAAGAGTCTGGTGATGCAGCCTGTGTCTCTGAAACTGCCCAGTGCTCTCTCACCACCTGACCCGTGATCATGCAGAAACGCCCCAAAGAGCAGCATTATTTGGAGGAGGGCCGGGCTGCTTGGGTCTTCTAAGGACACAGACACCCTAGTTCTCCTCATCGGAGAAGATCGTGGCAAGGAGAGCCGGAGGGAGGAAGCGTGCCCCGCTCGGACGCATGGGCAGGTCGGCCCCAGCCTGATGCCTGCAAAGGTAGGGGGTCGGGACCGGAGCCCAGCTCGAGGAGCTGCTCGCATCTCCGTGGAGCCCCCCACATCCCCTCTCACCGCTCCCATGCGCTTTGGCCCCCGGGGCACCTGGGGGCCCTCCAGCCTCTTCTGCGCACTCACCTCCCAGCCGCCTCCCCAACCTCCCCTCACCCCCCTGTCCCCAGCCCTGCTGTGCCACTTCACCAGGACACCTCTTCTTGACACATCCTTCGGGTTCCCATTAACTCTCTGTCTGTTCTGAACACAGCTGGGAACTGTCTCTCACTGCCTGCCATGGAGCTGAACCAGACATCCCCACCTCCCACACTGCCTGTGCCAGAGACCGGTGGAAAAGACCTGTGCACCATAGATGTCACTGATATGGCCATAGATGGCGTCACGCTGCTCATCTGCCTCTGCGGGCTGGTGGGGAATGGGGCCGTCCTCTGGCTCCTTGGCTTCCGCATCCGCAGGAACCCCATCACCGTCTACGTCCTCAACCTGGCTGTTGCCGACTTCACCTTCCTCCTCTTCATGGTCACCTCGACCCTCCTCTACATGGTGGAGAATGCCTTTTGCTCATCTGTGTCCTTGGTGTACCTGAGGTCTCTTTTACTGCTCTCGCTGTTCTCCTACAACATGGGCCTGTACCTCCTGATGGCCATCAGCATCGAGAGGTGCATATCCGTCCTCTGCCCACTTTGGTACCGTTGCCACCGCCCCCAGCACTTGTCAGCTGTGATGTGTGCCCTGCTCTGGGCCCTTTCCATCGCTGTCACTGCGGCAGTGACTTCTCTGTGCCTGTTGTCCAAGCGCGAGCACTGCAGTACGGCTCTCATCTCCATGTACCTCCTCAACTTCCTCATCTTTGCCCCTCCCATGGTAATTTCCAATGTGATCCTGTTCGTTAAGGTCCTGTGTGGCTCCAGGCGACGTCAACCCAAGAAGCTCTACATCGTTATTTTCCTCACTGTCTTCTTCTTTCTCGTCTTTGGGGTTCCCCTTAGCATCCATAATTTCCTGCAGCAGTTCAACTACTCCATCATGTTATCCCAGGTCTTTTTCCTGCTCGCCTGCGTCAACAGCAGCATCAACCCCTTCATCTACTTCTTGGTGGGGGGTTGCCAGCGGCACTGCTCCTTGGTGTCCCTCCAGGTGGCCTTCCGCAGGGTCTTTGAAGAGACGGGAGCCACCACCATCTCCAGCTAAGGGAGCGTGTTTGCACCATCCACACTCCCCAGCCTGGCTTCATGCTCAATGCCCACTCTTGCTCCCTGCTGGCCCCGCAGGTCACCTTCCTGCAGCTGCGTGTGGGGATGCAGCCTGTCCTTTATCCTACGCCATCATGATCCTATCTTTTCCCTGTCCTCATCCCAACCCATCCCATCCCACCCCATCCCCGCATCCCTGCCCGGGGTCTGCCTCCTCCCGCAGACTCCAGGCTGCTCCCGGCTGGAGCGCGGAGCGCTGGGCTTTGCTGCCCTCCAGCGAGAGCAGAGAAGAGGGGAGAGTTGCAGAAACGCTCCTGGGCCGCCTGGCTCGGCCGCGGCCCCGCTCCTCCCGCGTCAATAAACGCTGCTGGCTCCATCCCCGCCTCTCGTTCCTCTCTGGCCGCTCGCAGGGACGGGGTGTTGGGACAGCTTGGGGGGCATGAGGGGGTAAACCTCTGCCGGAGTGGGAGTATCTCCGAGAAACTGCCCCCAGAAAACCTTGACCTGGGGTGAGCAGTCCGTAGGGAGGCACTGGGGCCTCAGGTGTGTGGCTGGCTTCAGTGGGTGGGAGGTAGTGGGGTTGTCATGGGAGGTATGGAATGTGGTAGGGCTGGTGGGAAGGTGTGGGACATGGTGGGACTGGCCAGGGGATGCTGGACATAGTGGGGCTGGTGGGAAGTTGTGGGACATGGTGGGGCTGGCCAGGGGGTGCAGGAGGTGGTGGGGCCGCTGGGAGTGTGTGGGATGTGCTGGGGTTGGACAGGGGATGGAGGATATGGTAGGGCTGGTAGGAAGGTTTGGGACATGGTGGGGCTGTATGGAGGGTGTGGGGGATGGTGTGGGTCCGCATTCTTCAGGACAGGAGGAGCACCCAGATGTGACACTGGGGCAGTGCCTGAGGAGGCCGCATCGAGCAGCCCAGCATATCCCGAGGGCAGCCCATGGATGAGCAATGTCCCCTCCTCCTATGTCCACGATGGCGCTTCCGGGAAACCGAGGCCTGATGTGATGGTGCTGGGTCTGGAGCCGTTCAACTCATCACTGCTGGCTCCAGCACTGTCTTCCTGCATGCCCATAGCTCTCCTCACTACTGACAGGAGGCTTTGTGACCAGCTGAGACCGTGGCAAAGCCATAGGGAGGTGAGTGACATCCCATAGGACCCATAGTGACCAATAGACGTGGTGCCCTGCTGCTGGGAGGTGGTGGTGGGGCTAGGGACCACGAACACCCCCTCCTCTTGCTGCGGAACCATCCTGGCCCATTGAAGAAAGAGCAATGCTCCAGTCTGCTGAAGCCAGAGGAGAGGAAGAATTTAAGGAGGAACAGTCCTTTACTGTTAGATCTGGCTTACAAAATTGAAAAATAAAATATTTGGGAAGATACTTGCTGTGATGCTAATAAAACAGTCTGGAGGGCACCGCCGTACCCCTGGGCCCATCCTGCATGTACCAGGTGTGCTGGTGCCGTCCCAGCTGCAGGCAGCTGGGATCGTTTCTGCTCCTGCAAGCAGAAGCTGTTTGTGTGTCTCCTCTCCCTCCACCCACACCCCCGAAGGCAGATCATGGTGCACAATGCTGTTTATTGATATCAGGCAGTGGTGAGATACAGGAACTGGGTACCGGCTGGAGAGGAGGGCGGTGGGGCCTCGGCTGTGCTGGGCGAGGGGCAGAGGTTCCCCTCTGCAAGCATTGCTGGAGACAGGGGCGGAGCAGAGCTTGGAGAGGCTGCACAGGTTGAGGTACAGGATGGGGACAGGGCTTACCAAATGTATTCTACCCCCACGCCGTACACGAGTCAGAGTTTCACAAGGCAATGCTCTTTCCAAAATGCTGACTGTATGTGAGATGGGAACATAGTCATCTGGGCTGCGTTGTCCTTGGGGGAATAGTGCCCTAGGACCTGGGGTGGGCTGGCTGGGAGGAGAAAGCCATGCTCCAACGCACAGCATCCCCCCCTGCATTGACCTTGGCCATGTCCCTGCTCTCCTCTTCTGCCTGGGGCAGAATGGCAACTCCAAGAGGGTGACACTGGGGGAAATACTACAGATATTCATCAATCTGGTTACTCAAGGAAACCCTCAGCCACCGTCCCAGGGGCCTCAAGCAGAGCAGAGGTACAGCTTCAACAGCCTGGGGTCAGGGTGTCCATCGTGGTATCATTGCTGCATGCTGTGGTATCTTTTGGATCCTCAAAGACCCTGCGGAAGGCGACCTGGAGGGACACCAAGGAGCAGTGCTGCCAGCAGCTCCCCACCAAGAAGTAGATGAAGGGGTTGATGCTGCTGTTGATGCAGGCAAGCAAGAAAACGACCTGGGAGGACACGACAGTGTAGCTAATCTGCTGCAGGAGGTTCCAGATGCTGAGGGGGAGAGCAAAGAGGAGGAAGAGGAGGACAGTGAGGAAAATAACGATGTAGAGCCTCCCGGGTTGGCGCTGCTGGGAGCCACACTGAACCTTAATGAAGAGGATTGTGCTAGAAATGACCATGGGAGGGGCGAAGATGAGGAAGTTGAGGACATACATGGAGATGAGAGCCACCCGGCAGAGCTCATGGTTGTACAGCAGGCACAAAGACGACACCGCAGCAATAACACCGATGGAAAGGGCCCAGAGCAGGGCACACACCACGGCTGACAAGTGCTGGGGGCGGCGGATGCGGGGGCAGAGGATGGCCGTGCACCTCTCGATGCTGATGGCCGTCAGGAGGTACAGGCCCATGTTGTAGGAGAACAGCGAGAGCAGTAAAAGAGACCTCAGGTACACCAAGGACACAGATGAGCAAAAGGCATTCTCCACCATGTAGAGGAGGGTCGAGGTGACCATGAAGAGGAGGAAGGTGAAGTCGGCAACAGCCAGGTTGAGGACGTAGACGGTGATGGGGTTCCTGCGGATGCGGAAGCCAAGGAGCCAGAGGACGGCCCCATTCCCCACCAGCCCGCAGAGGCAGATGAGCAGCGTGACGCCATCTATGGCCATATCAGTGACATCTATGGTGCACAGGTCTCTTCCACCGGTCTCTGGCACAGGCAGTGTGGGAGGTGGGGATGTCTGGTTCAGCTCCATGGATGGATGCTGGGCAGGCGGTGGGACGTGTTCTTCAGCTGTGGTCACAGTGAACGGGGAGTTAGGAGTTTGGAGAAGCCAAGGCTGAGCCACGCAGCCCCTCGCCAGCTCCCTGCGCTGGGACGGCATCAGTGGAGGGCAAATGGGACATCCTTGGGAGGGAGGTGATGGGTATTGTCGGGTGGGAGAGGGAGACAGGAGGGAGAGGGTGGATAACAAAAATAGGGCAGTGGGGAGGGGACCTGGGGAGAGCGCTGGCGGTCACTGGGAGAGGGTGGGAGGAACAGAGCTGCCAGAGGAAACGAAGGTGGGGTAAGGATGGAGGGAAACATTGCACTTAACTGTAAACTTCGGTGAAGCCGCAGGTGAGGGCTCTTCCCAGCTGAGCTTGGGCAGATCAGCAGCAGTGTCTTGGCATCTCACGCTCCCTTCGGATCCGTATCCCAAAGCAGATCCTCCCAGGAGAGCTGCATGCAGAAGAAAGTCCACTGCTTGCCAGGTGGTCCCCACTCTCCTCCACCCGGCTCCTGTCTCTTGCCCTGTCCCCCGTGTGCCCCTCGGCAGCGCTTGCCGTTTTCTCCCCACTGCAGTGGGGTTTCAGGGGCCTCGGGAATGGTTTTGTAACTGCGGCTGCATCAGAGTCCTGCTTCCGTGTTTTTATTTATCTTGCTTTTCTTTGCCATAAAGGAAGTGGCTTTTGCCAGGACCTTTGCAAGCAGAGAGTTGTGAATGACTCCTCATTTACTCTGATTAGAAACATCCCTCCCGGACAACGACCTGCTCCTGACTGCCTTCCCTCTCCTGACAGCTTTCTGTGTTTTTCGTCCCCCCCTGCCTGTTGCAGGGCTCCCCACACCTCAGCATCCCTGGGGGGGAATCGCCTCTCCGGCAGCTGAGCTCGATGGTGGTGCTGGTGGTGCTGTTGTTGGTGCTGGCGGTTCTGGCAGTGCTGGTAGGACGGATGGGTGCTTCTCAGAAGTGACTCTTCTTCTGGGAAGAGCACAGGGATCATTGCCAAGGACACAAGGGAACACACCTTCAAGCCGGAGCCAAGAAATAGCATTTTTTGTCTGTCTACAGCAGGCTGATTGATTGTCAGTCTAATGCCCAGTTGAAGGACAACAAAGTTGTTTTCAGCCAGGTTATGAAGATGTTAGCACTTATAGCCCAAATTAATTGTTGCTAATACCCCTTAGTAACGCAAGGAAAGCTATTGCAGACCAGGTTTCAGGGTGCTGCGCTCCCCTTGGGTTGTTTTTATAAGATCCCACCTCTTTGATAGCTCACAAAGCCTGGGCTGCAGCTCCTGAGCTCTGCCTGGGGGTTGTTAAACCCTCCTGAGGCTCCCGGCTCCTGCTCAGGGCTGAGCAGAGAACTTCCTTGGAGGCACTCATCCCTCACACCTGGTCTGGCTGCACCGTCCCCTGGGCAGGTCCATGGGACCCAAAGCCAAATTAATTATATTGCATCTCCCAGCTAAATTCATCAGCTGCATGACAGCTTCCGAAAGTCTGGCAAAACCGTCGTGGTCCCTGCAGCCACTCCCAGTAGCCTTTGATGGGGCTGCTTTCCAGTTTGTGGAAGGGAAAGAACATCTTTATGGTGACTTTGGACTGGAGGTGGGATGGACGGGTCTGTAGCACCATGCATCAGCAGCGCCCGGAGGATTTCAGGATGAAACTTCCCGCTTGTTCTGCAGGTATCTTAAGCATCCAGAAGTGAACTCACTCCAGCTGTCTTACCGAATTGTTGTGTGCACGCACATCTGATTGCTTAGAAGTTACATGCAGGCTGCAGTGAGCTGCCCTCAACCCTGCTTTCTGCTCAGCAGT